TTGTAATGAATATCATTAGCTGTTCGTCCATTTGGACGAGTTGGGTTACATTTCTTGTCGATTGAAACGGAAGATTTTCTTTAGTTGGAACTTCCTGATTATGACTTGTGCAAAATGAGGATTTTTAAGGTATGGAGGATGACTGCAGCAATAAACAAAGAAAATGTCACGACGGGTTTCTCTAACCAGGAGTTAGACACGGGCATCATGATGCTAGTGATGAAATAGGGCGTAGTTACTAAAACAAGGAATGACCTACAATGACCTACAATGACCTACAATGATCTACAATGACCTACAATGATCTACAATAACCTACAATGATCTACAATGACCTACAATGACCTACAATGATCTACAATGACCTACAATGAGCTACTATGACCGAACGTGTAATCCCTGTAATGAGCTAAAATGAAGATTTTAGAAAAAGACAAAAAAAAAAAAAAGATCAGGGGACATGTGTGCGTAAACGTAACGCGTTTAGTCTACTGCATGACGGCCCATTTAACGATGACAGCATCTCTAATTATTTTGCTTGGAGATAAATTTACAGTGTAATAATATATGTATGATGATACTGAGACTTTTGTCCAAACCATCCCTTGCAACCTTTCCCATTAGTTTTATTTTGTCTTGTCTTTTTTTCAAACAAATTGAACAAACACAGTCACCCCAACAGTCGATCCGGGGAGATCTGCAAGGGACGTAAGGGTAGAGATGAACAAAGGAGGCCTTCAAATTCTGACCCTGTTCAAAAAAAAATTTTTTCATTTTTTTAAAGTACCCTGGCCTGTATAAGACATCATAAGACCCTTAAATGGCTTTCGGTCCAACAGGATGCTCTGTTTGTAACGCTAAATAGTAAAATCCATATCCCGCTCAGCGGCCCATACCATCTAGGCCAAATAAGGGAGTGCCTGCATGACTTCCGTCAATACAGGGTATAATAGTGCTATACCAGTAAAAACGCGATCGCAATAATCTATTTTCAAGTTTCTCAAGTTACCTGAGATCTAGCCTGCGTGCAGACGATAACTAAACTCTGATTAGTACGGACGGAGTTAACCAGAGTTTAATTTCGTCTGCGCGCAGGCTACCTGAGATCAGGCACAATTTTTGTTTTGCCTTTTCAAAATGTGCTTGGCAATTTAATACTATGAGCCTAGTGTCACATCCAAGCGTGACACACGACAAACATCATTGTCTGTCATTTTGTAGTTCATTTTAGGGCTTATTTTAACTCATTTTAGCTCATAGTAGCTCATTGTAGCTCGTAGTAGCTCACCATAGACCATTGTAGGTCATTGTAGGTCATTGTAGGTTATTCCTTGTTTTAGTAACTACGACACACGTCCCCTGGTCTTTTTTTTTTGTCATTTTCTTAAATCTTCATTTTAGCTCATTACAGGGGTTACACGTTCGGTCATAGTAGCTCATTGTAGGTCATTGTAGATCATTGTAGATCATTGTAGGTCATTGTAGATCATTGTAGGTCATTGTAGGTCATTGTAGGTCATTCCTTGTTTTAGTAACTACGTGAAATAGGGTTTTAAAATTAAGAAATGGTAAACGTGCAGCGTGCAACCATGGAGTTATGGATGCACGCGGGAGGTTGCTAAGCACGAAAGAAGCGTAATCGCCTCGTGCGACTCTAGCTTTTTGAGTGCTTAGCAAACCTCCCAAGTGCATCCATGACTCCATGGTTGCACAGCTGCAACGTGTACGACTTCTTTTATAACATCATTGAAAAAAAAACATGATTTTCCATTTGCCTTCAGTTGAGTCATCGGTACGAGTTCATGCATGCTGCCATCTGCCCGCGCGTAATCAAATCATGTTCTATGTTTTTCAAAAACTTGCCTTTGAGTGTTTTTTTTTCGCTGAATCAACCGTTCTCCGTCTTCAGGTAAATTGCAAAACGTTTTTTGTTGCTATTCTGAATGGCATCTGTCTACTTGCTCTTAATATTAGGGTAAAAACTTTGAGGGAAAACTATAGCTGCAACTATAAACACCAGCTAAAAAGACTCTAAAAAATAAGCTAAAACTAAATAAATGAAATAATTATCAAGCTTATTTATGTGACAATTTTTGAAATAAACGTAAAGTAGAAATAAGAAAATTTGACTGTAATTCTTTAGAATAACAGGTAACACTAATTTTAAAAAGAAATTAAATAGCTTTGTATGAAATCTGTCTGGGGAAATCCAGCTATAAAAGTCACAGTTGCAACTGAAATTCCCGACACACAGACGGCGCTGAAGCTGTTGTTTTTCGACCGTTCTCTGAACGACTGTAATGAATGAACACTGAGGAGCAAAATAATACACACAGAAGTTATTTTTTGAAAAATTTATTTAAAAACCCAAATGTTTCTGTACTCAAATTAAATTCGCTTATTCCAGGGCAATGTGCCCATTTAAACTCAATTGAAATTTTTAATCGATGCGATGAAAACACACAAAGCTGTCTCGAATTTGAGCGTGTTTCCTAAAATGTTTGCTTGAATTTAGCATCAGCTTGACCAAAAAGTCACTGATAACACAATGCGAATTGAGAAATTTACATTTCAAACAGACTTTCTCTTCTATAAAAAACACCCAAGATGTACCTTAAATCTTTGCTCGCTCGATTATCCTTCAGCCGAAAGACAAAAACAGAAAAACCCAAAATTTTTCTGGCACCAATCAGAAGCCAGAACGGCGGCGACCGTTTGGAACTGGTCTGGTAAGACATTGTCCCCAGGGGCTCTTCTCGCCGTTCTTTACTTTTCTTCTTGCCATATTTTTCCACCCGTTTAGACTTTCCCTCGCCCCCACTATCTGCCCCTGGGTCTCCGAGGATGGCCAGGGAAGTGTCGAACTTTTAGGAAATGTATAGAGTATACGTAAAAATGTGCTTGGCTCAACTTGGCTTGTCCGTAGCGAAAATGAAACGCTGTGGCTATATGGCCGGTAAAACACTAAATGACCGGCAGTCCCATATTCTCGGTAAATTTCACAAAATCGAAAAATTCTAGCTAATCTAAACTATCCTGAAAGGGTGTCTAGGAAACCACGTCCTACGACCTAGAAAACGATGACCTAGAAAACTATGACGTAGAAAACGACGACCTAGAAAACGATGACCTAGAAAACGACGACCTAAAAAACGATGACCTACAAAACGATGACCTAGAAAACGGCGACTAGTTTTTGGAAATAGTAGTCAAACAAAAAAAAATGGGGAAAAAAAAAAAAACGTGATTGAGGACCTTTATAAGGGAAAAGGGAGACACTTGAAGAGAAATTTGGTCAGAGGTGAACCGCGTAAGCTTGCAGGCTCTGTCCCTGTTCGCTCATTTCGCTATTAAGATGCAAATGTCATATTCATAGCAAATCTCAGTGTAATCTTATCAAACGCGCCAAACAACCATGCAAATCGCTCCTGGACGCTAGTTATAAGTAATGCTAAATAGTAATGCTAAGGTCAATAGGTCTAATTTGCACGTGCAGCACACTTTTTTGCACATCGTACGTAGTACGTGCGGACGATTCTCTCAGAACCAAAATTTCTTGAATGCATTTTGGGCGCTTTCCATTCAACCAAGAAAACTTAAGAAACTTTGGAAACAGAGGCAATTGGTACAGTATTTTCCCGGAAAAGTTCCCAGACTTCCGGAAACTTTTCCGAAATGCGAACCATTCAACCAGAAATTTTAGACTTCGGGAGCAAAGTTGAACGCTGAATGAAAACTTCCCGAAAATAATTTTCGAAAATTTGGGTATACCGTAATTTATTTGAATAAGCGCCCAATCTCGAATTAGCGCCCACCTCGAATAAGTGCCCACTCTCAAGGTCCAAAAATTTAATAAGCGCCTAGGGCGCTTAATCGAATAAATACGGTACATCGCGAAAATGCTGTTCCATTCGGTACTGAAAGTTGCCCAAAAATTTAAACCAGACGTTTTGATTGAATGGAATGGCGACCAGGTAACCAAATTTGTTACCAACTGTGCTCCCTTTGCGCTCGCGCATGAGAGCTCCACTAAAAAAGTTTCTCAAGTCAAATTTTCCTTTAGTATGGTCAATGAAGTCATGATTCAATCTGACTGACTACTGGAAGCAAAAGCTTTGCTTTAACCTATTTATTATCCTGATATCAATTTAAACAAATTTTCATCAAATCTAAATAATATACACTGCCTCACTGGCGCGTCGTTTATGGCGGGAAGTTTAAGCCCACATAAATCAAACAGGACAAGGACCTAATACTTTTAAATCAATGTATAGAATTAATGTCAATCACGATTCTTGTCATCAAATAAATCTATCAATAACAGGCAACGCCTGTTTGATAAACGAAACAGAAGGCAGACCTCGCGTACGTTGCATTTTCATTTCCACCGTTTTATTCCTTGGCTTCATACCCTCACTGTTCAACACACCAGGGAGATGAACCGCTCGAATCTCGAATTCGTGGGTTGCTGCTAAGAAACAGACTTCTCGCAGACAAGAATTAATAAAAGCATTCCGACATCGTCCCGAGTTTAACGCAGTGACTGCGACTTCGTTGTCGCACCGAAAAGTTAAACGAAGGCCGTGCCAAAGATGGCCCCAAGATTTGAGCGCAACAACAATAGTAAAAAGTTCCAAGGAATTAATGTCAAGATTCTGGATTGAGATGAACTCTGGAAACTCCGCATGAAAATAAGAACGCGCACAAAGGCCTCCACAACCGGTCAAACAAGTGTCGGTGGTAAACACCTCGCCAGGAGACGACCAGTTATTTGCGGTAATCATGGACACACCGTTGTAGACACGCAAAAACCGGCACCACCATTGAATATCTTTACGAAATTCAGAATTGAGATTAATATGATGATGATTAAATTTTACAGACCGTAATAAACGAAGAATCCGCGCAATGAAGACTCGACTTTGGTGGACACACTTGGATACAAATACCAACTTGCCTACCAGCGACTGAAGAGATGATTTCGTTGTTGTACGTTTGTATTACCATGGTCGTAACAAGCTTTCAATTGCGGCTAAACGGTCAGAGTCGACAGATAAGGTAAAGTCAAGAGTATTGAGTTGGACACCCAAACAAGTCATTACTGAAGACGGAGGAGATGATTTATCAACAGATTCCTCTAATCCAAGATGATGCAGCAAGACGCCAACCTCATTGAAATGAGACGTTGCCAAAGGCAAAGGGGAAACACCAATAAAGTCATCGAGATAATTAAATGTACTAAGTCCGCGCCGGTTGAGAATCCAAGAGACTGCGGACGTGGAGCGTTGACATGCCATCGCGGCAGAACGGAGACCCATAGTTAAAACTGTGTCAAAATAAAATTGTCTGTTCCAAGTATAACCAAGTGAATGATAATCGTGGGGGTCGACGGGGAATTGGCGGTACGCTTTGCGGAGATTGCGTTTGTATAGCATGCAACCCCGACCGAGGGAAACAATCGCCGAGACGATAGCATCAATAGTGGGATAAGTCAATTCAAGGAGCTCGCCAAGAAAAGAACCCGACGGAATACCATCATTAACTGATGCGCCACAAGGCCAGCTCAAATCCACTATCACTCTTCGTTCCTAAGAGTCTCCAGGGGCACCCAACGACAATTTTTGGAAAATATCAGTTTGAGATCTATTTGATATTTGAGATCTAGAATTTTCGGAACATTTGTTGTTAAATCTCTTGCTTGCCTACCTCTCCTAGGATTTTCGAGCATATTACAAATGGTATAATTGCCCATTTTTAACGGATTTTTACCCTAAAAAGGTCACCTAGAATTTTCGGGAGCCTTTTTTCTGGCTGAAATTTTCGAAAAGGTCAGTTTTGATCCCTATAATTTTCGGATCACTAGACTTTCAGCTAGGAAATCCGAACAGATGAAAAGTTTTTAGGGGATAAAAATATGCCTATATCTACCGTTTAAATACTAAAATACGTTCAACAATGCTATGTTTAAGTGGTTTTGAACTATATTCTCGTTGGGTGCCCCTGAGTCTCGCTTGGCCAACGTGTTGAGAGGAAAAACGACAAAACCGTTAGGGAAAGGCGGTGATCGAAAAGTCCCGCAACTCGAGTGAAATCTCGCTACTGAGATAGTCTTGAACGGCGGAAGGAAAATTCAACGCGCCACGGTGGGTACGAAGGTCAAACACTGGAAGGGTCTGGTTAGTGTAACCAAGAGGCCAACCAAATTCCAAAAAGTCACAAATTACACTGTCCTCATAGTCTTGAAGCAAGGCACGCCACACGGGAATATTCAGTCGAGAAGGAACGGGAATACGAAGGCCTGTGTAATTGAACTGTCCAGAAGAAAAGACAGCACAATGAGCGTCGACAGAGGAACTCGTGGCAGGACGTGTTGCATAATCAAAAACTGAATGTCTCCATTGTGAAAACTCAAGAAACCCATTGTCTTGAGTAGAAAAACTAGAACTGGGGCACGAAAACATTGTCAGGCCAGAAGCTAAATGTCTCGCAGGAGAAAAGTCTTGCAATAAAAAGTCGCGAGTAAAGTGTCTAGAACTACAACCAAAATCTAAAACGGGCACGCCCCCAACTTCGGTTCCGTGAAGGTTAGGAGACGAAAAACTGTCTAGTTTTTTGGCGTCACCGGTGAATCTTTCGTAGCCAGAGCTTTTAAAGGACAATCAGAAGAATTCTCCCGATGTGACTCCTGCTTTCGAAGACGAGTCCAGCATGCTGCGCAGATATGTTTCAACCATTTGCGTTCTCCGCGGATAAAACCGAAGTGGTCTTTAACGCTAATGCATTGTTCTCGCTGATAATGGCGACAAAATAGACCTGGCGCTGAAGAAGAGGAAGGCGGCGATTTCTCCTGCAATGGGTGCCCGTTAAGGGTTCTGCTTTCCAAGTGGAGATAAGAGTCTCCCCATTGAACCAGTCCACGCTCAATTTCGAGCAAAACGGACCCGTGAAAATTAAGAACGGCGGACCATTCGTACTGTTGCGCGAAATGCATTGACGGGACAAGATGCTTTTCGCGCTCTGTGCGCTCCAAAGGACTAATGTCCTTACATAATAAAATTTGACCTCGCGTTGCGCTCGTGTGAGACAAAGAAAACTGTGAGGCCATCTTTGAGGGTACAAAACCTCGCTGGTAGCTTTCGCCTCCCGGCCCGATTGTAACTTACCAGGACGCGCAGAGGGTGAAGAGGTAGCTGCTGAGTGCTGAAGAGGGTCGCTCTCATTCTCAGACTCGCTATCATCAGAACAAGCAACGCCAAGTTGGTCTACCCGTCGATCCACCGTCTGGGCCAAATCGGTCATAGCACGCAGTTCTGTCAACGTAACAAGGGGCGGTACTGTTGGTGCTGTCTGTTGTCGTGAAGTGGGAGGACGTACTAACGCGCGCAACTCGGTAGTCTCTTGTCGAAGAGATTTCAATTCAGTGGATAAGAGCTGCACCGATTCCGTTAAAGACTGCAAGACGTCAGGTTTTGTAGAAGCGGTGGCACCAACCTCTTCGGTGTGCTCTAGCTCACCAACCGCCTCGAGATCCTGTTCCGTATTGTTGCGAACTGGACCGGTACAATTCTATCCAGGACGACCAAAATCATGAGCGGACTTTAACTCCTTACAACCTGGGCACCTGCTTGGACGACCCATTGGGATGAAACGAAAGAAGAAACGAAACAGTACGATACAAAACTGTGGTATACGCTCGAGGTAAAAACTGACTCTAAATGAAACACGAAACTCCTATCACCTGATACTTAAAGGTGTGTGTTGCGCAATTAATCCCTTTGAACACGTGCTTGTCCAAAGGGGGCCGTTTTCGTCATCTGAGCCCAGCGTAAAGAGCATTTCAGGATCGCTTGACTTGTCTTAATCGACATATGATAGTTTAGATTAGCTAGAATCTTTCGATTTGTGAAATTTACCGAGAATATGGGACTGCCGGCCATTTAGTGCCTTCAACACCTTGACCGGCTACCGGCCATACTTGTTTGTTACTATTGCGTTACTACATTAGTGGGAAAACCGTCGTCATGGAAGTAAAGTTGCCTGCGTCGCAGACGCTCTAAAGACTATACAAACCATGCTCGCCCGGGGCAACAAAAATTTTCGTGCCCCGGTGAAAATGTTCACTGGAAGTGTCAGTGTGCTGCTCACTAGTGCATCATTAAAAATTACTTTACTGAAACTAGAAGGAGCCACACGAGAAACTGGGCATTTAAGTGCAGTGCACTCAGCTCCCAGTACAGAAGTGTAGTACACTCTGCTGGTATAGTATAATTCCGACTTCACTAACGCTAGAACCCTGGCGGTTCAGTGGTTAGAACGTCCGATCTAGTATTCGGAGGTTCGCGAGTTCGATTCTCGCCTGGGGCACGAAAATTTTCGTTGCCCCGGGCGAGCATGGTTTCTCCTTCTTCCCAGTGAAAATGTTCACTGGAAGTGTAGTGTGCTGCTCACTAGTGCATCATTAAAAATTGTTTTCGAGGTCTGTGTTTTCGAGACACCCCTTTGTGTGCAGCAAAATACCTCAATTGTGTTGACGTATATTAATAGGTGTCAATTGATCTTTCACCTTCGATTTGTGCAAAGTCGGAAAACGTTCAGTCTCTAATATTCAGTTATCCTTCTGGCCGCGACTTCTTTCAATTAACGTTGTTTTCGTCTAGCTTTTGTCGATTAACATGCAGTCGAATCCCGCTCTTACTGCTACACAAGCCGCTGATCCTATGTAAAACATTGCAAATAAAAGCTATACATTGCGGAGTGCAAGACCAGTGCAGTATCTTTTCTGAAACAGATAGCATGAAAGAGCCTGGAAATAATGCCGACCAGCCTCAAAGATCGTGTGTATACTTAGAATATCAAGTCGCTCGTGGGATATTTAACAGCGGTATGTCACTTGAAAGAACGAAAGCATTGCATAATCTCATGATCACGAGAAAGTATTCCATCTCAGTGAAGGTTTTCATAAAGATTGTAATGGCTATATTCACGCGGTCACATGTGGAAATATATATGCGACAAACTTAGAAATGCCTAAGAAAATCATTACTCGTCAATAACTCTACCCTCAAGATTTCATCTTTAGTAACTTGACTGACTGACAGCCAGCTTCTCCCTCGTTTTTTTTCGTCAGAGCCATCGTTATCACGTATTGGAAACAATGAAACGTTCGGCGCCATCTTTTGGCGACTTTAGGAGCCCATTTTGGATAGAAACGTAATATTTTAACTTCTCGTCGGAAAGCTACCACTTTGCCCGAGGCCTTACAAGATTAGACTACTTTCCTTTGGCGATGGAAAGTTCAGCCATTGTGTACGAGCTCTATATTTACTTGCAAGCGTTATTGATACATAGGTAAAAGGGCGCGACGGAATTCAACTGCAACGACTAAATATTAGCCCGCCACAGACCGACCTTAATGGATTTGCTCCACTTTTAATTTAGAGCAGGTCAATATTACCTTTTTGTTATCTGTCATCAATGATTCCTATTGTTTCCGGGTGGGACGGTCGTTGCACGCAAACTCGATATAATAAAAAATATACATAAAAAAATAAAACGATAAAAGAGGCAAGAAACTAAATAGGACTTCAGAGCGTCTATGGTTAAGTGACAAAATTTTAATTAATCCCAACGCAGAACAAAAAGAATATAGTGCAAGGGAGAATCAGCTTAGAGAGCGAACCCCTGTGCCCTATGATAATTTTTTAAAATCTATTTAAAGTTCGCGCGCGTGCTGCAAAAGTCATTTTTGTCTGTTGTTTCCGTGACCCGCGTAGTCTACTTCCACGTGAAAGTGACATGTTTCGCGGCCAGACATTTGAAGTTTGACAGCCATTAAAGTAATTAGCCCCAGGAGCCGATACTAATCGGCTCCTGTTGTTGACATATTTTTGATCAGCGTGTTCCCGCTCATAATTTAGGAATGAATTTCATTTATAAAGGGATTGCAGTATTGGAGTCAAAATTTCACTTTGAAATTGAAGATTGAGATTTTCTAACAGCTGCTAACCTTTTAAAGTAACGAATGTTGAATTCTGACACACCGTGAAAGCCATAGGCAAAGGTATCACGCGCGAAACACGAAACCTTTAATAGGTAGCTGGCTGCAATTGTTTATGCAAATGTGCAAGATGTGTTTTTCTCTTCTTCCAGAGACTTTTTATGCGCGGTTTCTGGTTTCGGTCAATTCTTTATAGTGAGCAGTGTGCCCACATTTGTCTAGCGCCCTCTCAAAATTCAAACGTTTGGCAGCCAAACATTCATGTTTGAATCCATTTTGAAACTATTTTCTCGTTACGTGTCCACGGTTGGATCCAAACGA